TGTGAGACTATATGAAGGCTCATTGTTAACATGGTCTGATCCCATGAACTTATTTGGATCTGAACTGGTTGAGTATCTTGTATTATCTAATCCTCTTAATGATTCAAACAGTGCTGTAGTTAGAGTCAGACTACCTCCTACAGCTAACAGCTATGATTTGACTGATCTTAATGTTCCAAATGGGTTTCATTACATATGGGTAAGTTGGTAGGTCAAAGTCTTTAAATTTTTAACTGAATAATCTGAGCACTTGCATTGTATGACTGGCAAGGTTACATTTCTATAATTATTTTTTTTAGGTTCAGGCAGTCAGTAAAATTGGAGAGGGGGAATTTTCAACATCTGTTCTTTATAATCGAAGCAACTCATTCATGAATCCAACACTACCAACAGTAAATAATGAACCATTGATCCTCTCTGTATCATTGGGGGCACTTGCACTGATAGTATTCATAGTGTTAGTAAATGCTTTGTTGTGGATTGTGCTGGTGATTAAGAAGAAGAGAAAGCAAAAGAGAAAGAAAGAGCAAAGTGGCTACATTGATTCAACTCTTAATCCTTCATATCAAATGACCACTGCTAGGAGCCCACCTACAACAATGACATCTCCTATTAGTCAGGGCAATGTTGCATATAATGAAATAGCTGAGGTTCCTCACTTGAATAGGTTAAATCCAAATGAAAAATTTTATGAGGAAATTGATGATATTGCAGTAGACACTGCTGGTACTGCTACTGCTCCATCTGCTACACCAACATACTTGGAAGTTTTCTAGCAACTAAATTAGCATCAATATTATTAATTTTGATAGATTAATTACATAATATACATGTAGTTTGTAGTAACATTATACGACTTGATAGTGTCTAAAATTATTTTTTCTAACTTATTGTCTATTCTGATCAAAATTGAATTTTTAAAGTTGCTCCAAAATCTGGCCAAAGTCTCTCTCTAGAAAATAATCACTTGACCTCTCTACCCCTCTCCTCCTCTCCTCTTCCTCAACTAACTTACATCAACATCAGTAGAAACTACATTAGAGACATCACTGGCATTGAAGTAAGAGAGAGAGAGAGAACTACAGATGTACACTGTATACAGTATAAATGTAAATGTATTGACACATGTATGTACTTATGTATTGTACTTTTTTAGACACTAACTTCACTTCAAGAGTTTTATGCTAGTCATAATTACTTGGAAAATCTTAGACAATTATTTTCATTAAAGGTACAACTAGCATTTACATGTGCATATATTTACTTGTTCTTTCTCCCCCTCTCTCTCTCTCTCTACTGTAGCCTTTGGTTCATTTGGTGGCAATAGATTTGACTTGCAATCCACTGGCTAGTCATTCAGCTCATTATCGGCTGTTTTGCATTTATCACTTCCCAACTATAAAAGCAATTGATGCAAGAGCAGTGGTAAGGAAGGATGAATGGAGAAATATATAATAATGATAAATTATTCTTTCTTTCTATTTCTGTTCCTCAACTCCAGACTAATACAGAGATTGGGCTTGCAAAGGAGAAACTTGGTGGGAGGTACAATTTTAAGGTCAATCTACACTTGTATCAATCTTTTTCTCTTCTTTTAGACTCTCCCAAGACTTGGTTTATGAGAAGTGTCACAGCAATGACTTCAATGCAATAAAGAAATTGGACTTTGTTCAATGTGGCCTAAAGCATGTAGACCTCTCTCCAGTTAGTAGTCTTGACAATCTAGTTAGGTGAGGAAGCTTTTTTACATGTACAATGTACATGTGTGATGTCAGTGATGATGTTTTGGTTTCTTTTCTCTCAGTTTGAATCTTGAACACAATTCCCTCACGAGTTTCTCTGGCCTGATACATCTAAGCAAATTAAAGGTATTTTTTAAACTTCAACCAGCTACAGTATATGCATGAATTAAATTTTTACACTAATTTACTCAATTTCTACATCACTGGCTCAAACTTTTTGCATGCAGGAACTTTCAGCAAATGCTTCTGATGTTAATTTCTCTCTCTCTCTATTCTCATTTCTTCAGGTTCTTTGTCTCAATCATAATCGAGTGGAGTACCTTATCAGACCTACTGGCAGTGGACCCTCTTCAACATCATCAGGAGGCGGAGGAGGAGGAGGAGGTGATCCTGTAATGCAGAACCTACAAGTCCTTCA